CCCCCCCTCAGTTTTGAAGCAGAGTGGGTGATTCTTGTAATGTTTGTGCTGTGAAACGAGAGCTAATATCTGAAACCACAACAAGGGAGACAGCTGGGTATTACAAGCATCCTTAAGGGACAAACAGATACTCAAATCTAGGAAGCAAATTAGGAAACCTAAAAGAAAAAAAAAAAAGTGTGTGGAGTGAGAGCTAATAAGATGGTGCTGTGTTGAAGGACACTTAACATACTAAAGATGTTTTCCTTCAATTTAAGTTGTATATTAATGTTACTATTGATAGTTTTAACAAAATGCAAAACTAAACATGAACTTTTTTTTTTGTAAAGAAATATATTAAAAAAAAAAAACCTGATATTCCAAAGTAATCCTCCCTTTGCTTTCTGTCATTCAAAAACCAAAAAGCAATCTTTAGGTTGACAGAGAGCAGGAGAGGTGTTCGCAAATGCAAACTGTAAAGGACGTCCCACGGCTTGACACTTGCACTAGTCCACAATTTTTGCACAAGCTACAGGCATTTCAAATGAACACAGCCATCACCACAACATTTAAGAGTCACTCGGTGTGGTTTTTTTGAAACACGGAGGGTAATGCTGTCCTTTGACAACTAATAATTTCTTACTCCTGTTGGAAACTGTATCTTGTGTGTAAAGCAGGGACTGGAGTGCTTGATCCTCAAGACTGGGATTACACACGCACACACATAGACATGGTGTTGCACTGTCCAAACTAGATACGTTTTTATGGAGATCTGCTTTTTATTCTCTTATGTTTCATTGTCACTTTGATTATCACTATTGTTATAACTGTACTACTACTTATACGATTTATTATTACTACTCATCACTGTTTTTGATTATTGATTCATAATGGTTTTAAATGCCACCACTCTGCTCAGAAAGAGTCTGGTATTCCTATGAATATTGAACAATAATAGTGGCAGTGTTGTTCTGAATTGTTAGATTTTTGATTAAGCTTATTTTTCCTCCTCACTTGTACCTGCCTTTTGTGTTTGGTCTCCATTATGCTTTCTTTGATATACAGAAAATAAAATCATTGAAGAACAAAGCATATCTCGAATGATTGAAGTGCAGCTGAAGCATTTATTTGTGTGTCACTAAGGTTTAATTCTCCTAACGGAAGAATTACTTCATCTAAGAAGCTTTGCTTGAGTGGCATATTTAAAACAAAGGTCACTCTGGGGGAGACAATCTATGTGACACACTCAGATGTGATTGGAATTAATTTGCTCAACTACCTTTGCCAGTTTACTTGTGATTGATTCGATATAATGGGCAGAAGCGTAATCCAATTAGAGGCACACATGCGATTTCGGAACCGGAACGTCCTGTTTCATTAACCAATAGGAATGCGGCTAAGACCGAAGAGGTTGGTCTAGAATCCTCGGTTAGCGAATGGGAGGGAGATTCTTACGCCTGCAGTGATCCATGGCTCCGCCCCTGGCTTCCATTTCTGAACTGAAGGGACGCCGCCGCTCTCGCGTATAGCCCTCGCCTTTTTTTATACACACATTTAAGTAAATAAACTAGGTTATCTGTCGTAAGTTAGGACCATTTCCTAAAGGTAGCGTAAATCAGTAGTCCCCGTTCATCGTGGTATGCTGTTTGAGTAGTAGCTAGAAGTGAAGCTAGCATTTTATTCCCCATTTTAACTTTACTAAGCGGCGTTTTCCGCCGTTTTTTTTCTTTTCGCCGCCCCGCTCACTCTACCCCCTTGTGTGTGAGTAGGGGCCTGCAACGTTGGTTTGGCCACGAGGCGCGTCGGTACAGTTGGAACAGGGCGATGGCGGAGTTCGGTAACGGACTGGCGGAGGAATCTCTGCTAGATTCAGACCCCGGACATCCCGAGCTGGAAGACCCGGGTGTCGGTGACGAAGAGCCGGGATTAGAAGAGGGAGAGGCCGCAATTGAAGATCCGGTAAGTGAAGGGCATTGTTTCTAAAGTGGAAACCCACATGAATACCGAGACACTTTGTGGTCGTGGCGGAGCAGCTAGTAAAAGCAGGTGAACAATTTGTTGATTTTTTTTTTCATCCTCCACACGAATCTTGGGTCACATGCGGTGTGCGTTACTGCTATCGCCAGGTCTGTGTTAACCGCCATTGTGGTTCACGCAGTGCAGTAGAAATGGGTGGTGACATGCGTGGTGTCGGCAGCCATCTTGGCGCAACAGCGACGCCAGTTTCTCTGCGCCAGAGAGCAGCTCGAGCCGTTTGTGGGGGGTGGGGGGGTCCTTGTCGCGAAAAAATGCGAGACGGAGATGCAGGAGACAGTAAGGGGCGAGGGTAGGACAGGCCGCCGCCATTAGCCGCCGCCGCTGTGCGAGTCTACCTCCTTAAGAAGGCGACCTGCTAACGGTAATGACCTCTTTTTATTCCCTTTTACCTTTATCATTTAACCGGCTGTGGCTGCTGCATTTCAAGCGCCGGTTTGCGCACATGCGAGCGAGCGGCCGCAGGTTATCGTTAGCTTAGCAAGCCCGACCATTAAAGGCTGCGGATAAAATGACCAGCGGACCTGTCAGCCGTAATCAGCAGTCACGAGATGAAATGCGGCATTTGCACCTCAAGCTGCTGGGCCTAACAGCAGCTGGCTTAGTAGCCGTGAATATTAAGCATGTGATAACGGGTCTTTGTGGCTAACATGCTAGCGGATTTTAACAAAGCTGGTGTGGCAGTGGCAGACGTGCACCTGACCATCTTTGTCGCCTATTTTTCAGCCGACAATGGGGGTAGAGTCGTGAATCGCTGCTTGTTGGTGCACACCCTGTGTAATTGTTGAAAATGTAAAATTTGCATTAATCAGCCCAGTTGTTGTTTTTTAAACATGCATATATATATTAATTATTATTATTATTATTATTTTTCCCTCGTGCAGCTAACACACGAGTGCACAATGGCTGGGATTGTCTTGAGTGACCAGGTGAGGGTTTTGAGGATGTCGGCCAGTGAAAGCGTGGCGTACAACGCAGAAGAAAGGGGCTGCGGTATTTGAGGGGCTGGGTTTGCATCCTTCAGTGTTTGGCTAGAGCAAGGAGAGCAAGAGAAGGGAGGGGAGTGAAAGAGCTTGCACTGAATATGCGACAAGACGAGACAAAAAAAAGGGACAGAGAGAGAAAAATTGGAGTCGCAACGTGCCAGCGGTGGATGGCTCATCCCAGCGGTCCTGCTTTGAATGTTGATCACTTCCCATCCATCCATCATCTCAGTGTTGGTGATATGTGTCAGAGCATCAGTCGCGTGAATACACGCCGACCGAGAAATGATGATGCCTTTATTAGCGTGTGCAGCGAGTCGCTGTGCAGTTTTATAGCCCGCTGCGGTGAGAAGATCTGAATTTATTACAGTCCGTCTGTGTCGCTGCACCCAGTTTCACAAAGAGCTTTTTCATTACAATCCTGTCAGTAGTTCTGGATCGAGCTGGAGTGACTCCCACTGTGCTGCAGTGCACCACTGTCAGACAGGAGGGTCCACTTCCACATGAGGGCACAGCCAGCTCACTGTTTATCTAATAATAATATAAGTTTATTGGCATTATTTAGTTTTGCGGGATTGACCGCAGATCTCATCATCATCTCGCTGCTTCATCTTTCCAAAATGGCTCTCCAGCAAAAATAAACACATTTTCTTGGAAATTAATATGCATATGACCATGTAGTGATGTATGCAGTTCCAACATAAACTGATAACAGAAGTTCATTTTTAGGCTAAGGTGGCATTTTTGTTATAAATATATTTTTGCGTTGTAAGCACTTAAACAGTGAATGTTACCATGTTTGGACATGATGTTTTTAATCATGTGGACATTTGAAGTGCTGTTTGCCAACACTGCTTTCGGGCTGGATACTTAACCTTGGTTGGTAACCTTTTCGTTGTGTGTATGTATGTGTGTATAGATAGATAGATAGATATAGAGAGAGAGAGATATAGAGATAGATAGATAGATAGATAGATAGATATATAGAGAGAGATATAGAGATAGATAGATATATAGAGAGAGAGAGATATATCTTGGCCTGGCGGTCCTCTTTGTAGTGGCTTTAAAGTCTGCTTTTGACTTGGGGGAGGTACCTACTATTAAATTTAGGCAGGATGGCAGGGTATACTGCAAAATGTGGGGCATGAGAATAACTATAGTGCGCATGCAGCAGTGCAGGACTAGATTGAGGGTGCACTTAAAGGTGGAAGAAGTCCCAGTACAGGGTTTTCCCTGAGATTATCTAAGGGGCTTAGATCCTGTCTGGGATCTGGGGTTGGAATGTTGGTCTTATT